CTCAACTTTACAACCACTATGTCTAAAGTTGTTACAGTATATAACCATGTGGATTTTAATGATTGTTTGCTGATTAAAGTCAACTTTATCATGTGGAACTAGTAGTTTGATTGATTGTGCATTTGGATGTTTCACCCCCCTTATAGCTGTACGTTCACATGGTATTTAAAGGATTGGCAGTTATACTGTACGAGTGTATATAGCTTAACATATAAAACCAATTGAAATTAGACTTGCTTGCAAGACTAAAGGCTTTCACCGTGCCAAGGCGTCACACGATCGACAGATGCATGACAAAAGACTATCCCCACCACTCCCGCACCCCCCAATTAAAAACACAAATATGCATAACTCAGATATTGACACGTTCTTTGCATGCGCATTACGATAGAGAAGGGAATTGAAAAATAGAGTTGAACAATTCACATCATGATAATCCTAGATCGGTAGAATCGAACAGACGCCGGCAATCCTCTCACCCCCTAAACAAACACACACTCACCCACCCCCCAAATAAAAACACACAGTTGCATAACTCAGATATTGACATGTTCTTTGCATGCGCATTACGATAGAAGGGAATCGCAAAATAAAGTTGAACTACTCGAAATGTTAAAAGAACAGTTTCGCGAAATAGACGAAAAGCAATGTCGCAATAGACATTAATATCAAAGTAAAATGAAATGGGGTTTAACACCATTCTGCTCGGAATGGACCATGAGGAATGTTTCGAACGTACAGCGGCGCTAGCCTACTCTTATATACAATTCCAACTGCCAAGGGATCTTTTACAGTCACACCTATGTGTATGCAGGACTTCGGAATCGCGTTCATGTCAGCTACTGAAATATGTAACTGGTTCAAAAATTAAATATCGCCAATTTTCTGGTTTCGTGCACGTTAAAGATTTGACGTCACTAACATGTAAAAGTTTACTATTAATTACAGACAGAGTCCAGGATCAAACAACTGAAGCAGTCAAGAGCCAGGATGTTCGCGACTACTTTGTTTTTTTATATTTACAGATACTATCATATTTCATTATTTGTTAGCGTAGGACATTGTCACTTATATATATTAAACATGTATTATATGTCTTATCATAGAAGTCTATAGTGTTATGTTCTTTCGTAATCATTTGTTTAAATACCTTAATTGTTCGTACCTTTCTAACCAGGGTAATTATATAACTGTTAAATTAAACAATGGATAACTCCTACCTCTTAAAATGATTTATATAATTAGTAAATAATTATTATTATCTAATGATTGTTGTTTTGTGACATATATAGTGTAACCAATATATACATTGTACTTTTATAATCAATATGATACTGTGTATTAGTCGGGTTTATGTTCTTATGATTTGAATTTCTTCATACAATATTTGTAAACCGCCAGTAGGAATAAATGTCTCTTATATAGATACATTATGATGGATGGAATTTGCATGGTGCCTTTGGAACTGTGCTGTATCATACGGTCTGTCATTGAATCAACTGGCGGCGTTTCGATTCCCCGGTTGTACGTGACAAGGAGTAGGGTCGCCTGTCCAACCTAGTGGGTTTTCTCCCGGTCCTCCGGTTTCCTCCCACTGCTAAAGACCCCTATGCGCAAGCGAATAATTGAAATAAAAAAGAAATAAACGATATGTTAGTCCCGAAATGACCTAATGACCTAGTTTGTGTCGAGTGGACTTTAAACCCCATTCCTCTCTCTCCCTCTCTCTCTCTCTCTTCATACACATATATATCAATTAATCTCTCTATAGAAGGAGATCCCCAAAAAATATTAGATTGCCCTTTTGAGAAAAAGACCTCAAAACATGCTCGTACCGCTGCGCTAGTCTTCTTTTATATAGAATTCCAACCGCCAAGGGATCTTTTACGGTCACACCAATGTGTACACGGGACTTCGGAATCGCCTTCATGTCAATGAAATATCGCCAATTTTCTGGTTTCGTGCACGTTAAAGATTTGACGTCACTAATAAAAATATAATATTAATTACAGATAGAGTCCATGCTCAAACAACGTCATGCCTTTTATTATAGGTGCAATATTCTATAATATTGTCAGATACTACTGCAACAGTTTCACAAATTTGACTTTCTTATAAACAGCGCGAGCCGTCGATTTCTGTCCAGATGATTACCGGTATAAGATAATTTTGACAAAGAGGCAACAAAATTAATTCAAAGACTAATTATTACACACAGCAATCAACTATTTCTGTTACAAGTTCACTAAACCCATATGTTGGATAGAAGAAAACATTCATAGTTGAAATAATTTCAGTTCAAATATGATCACTGATAAAAGCACTCTTGAACAGGCTCTATACGGTGACAAAACGTACAGATTGTATCCCACCTTATGTTTCACTTAACAATGAAAGGTGTCGTGTTCAATTTTCGATCCCTTTGTTCTTCTACTCCTGAAATTTGGAACTGTTGTACAATGGTTTTATATATAACACTACTGATAGGCTTCTCTGTAGAAAAAGTTCCAAAAAAATATTATGTTGACTTTTCGAGAAATAGACCTCTAAAAATGCTCCAAATCGTGAAAATACGACGTTTTCGATTTTCGATCTCTTTTTTCGGCTACCCCTGACATTTCAAAAAATGATACAGGGGTTTCAAACAACAGAGTACCCATTATTCTCTCGATTGAGGAAGTTTTAAAAAAAAATTTAGGGGCGTTTCCGAGAAACATGCGTCTAAAGTTGCTCGAAATCGCAAAATACCTTACTTTTCAAAGTCACATAACTTTTTTATTTTTTGATAGAAACTTGTCGCTGAAGTACCATCTGATAGACGATTCGATTGGCTATTAAACAATATAAAACTTTAACTAAACAACAAGAACACAATTGATACATCGCATTTTCCGCACAGGCACCCATTTTTCTGAATTTTGTCCAAGTTTGGGCACTTTTTTTTACCACTTCCGGTGAATAGAAAATTTTCATTTTTACTTTAATGACTAGTTTCTTCCTTCGAGTTCATATTCCTGAAGTTTCAGAAAAATCCTTTATGTCTTTTTTATAAAAATCAAATAATAATTGACTATAATTTTCAATTTTCGTGCACGTTGAAGATTTGACGCTTTTCCGCTATGCGCACATATTTCGTTTTACATTTAAGCACTAACTACTACCCACTTTCATGAGAGAAAATCAAACTTCAGACCTCTATCTCTTATAGTTGCTGAGAAATAGGCAAAACGGAAAAGAAAAAAAAATAATAATAATATTAATCTTAGTAATAACAATAGTCTTTCACTGAAGGTGAAAGCCTAATAAAGTTGAAACCTTACCATATAATTATATGATTTGATTAAACCCAACTGCTATGCGAAATTTCTTTTCATTTTTATACACCCACATGGTAATGTGGACGTATATTGCCGTTGTGTCCGTCCGTCCGTCATCCACAATTTCTTGTGAACGCTCTAACTCAAAAAGTTATTATCCGATTGTTTTAAAATTGATATATGTGGTTTACATTAGTGAGATGAAGAAGCCTATTTAATTTCAATAATTTCTGTTTATTACATCTAGAGTTATGGCCCTTGTTTCACTTGGTTGAACCTTGTGAACACTATTATGCTAAAAGTTATCATCCGATCTTTGTGAAATTTATATGCATTATTTAAATTAGTGAAACGAAGAAGCCTATTGAATTTCTGCAATTTCTGTTTATTACGTCTAGAGTTATGGCTCTTGTTTCAATTTATTGAACATTGTGAACGTTCTAACACCAAAAATTATCATCCGATCTTTGTGAAATTTATATATGCATTATTTAATATGAATCCACGAAGCCTATTGAATTTCAACAATTTACAATAATTCTTCTAGAGATATATCCCTTGTTTCACTTTGTTCAACCATAGAAATATATACAGTCAGTATATATTTCTATGGTTCAACCTTGTTAATGCTCGATTGATGAAAGTTATGATCCGATATGTATTAAATTTATATGCATCATTAAAATTTGTGAAACAGAGGTCTATTGAATTTCAACAATTTCCATCAATTATTTCTAGAGTTATTGCCCTTGTTTTACTTTGTGAACCCTGTGAACGTTTGAATGACAAAAGCCGGTCAAATTTCAACAATTTCTGTAAACTACTTCCAAACTTGAGGCTCTTGTTTCAGTTTGTAAAACCTTGTGAACCCTCAAACGACAAAAATTATAATCTGATCTGTATGGAACTGTCTTGTAAAGGCCCCCAATTACCTACAAAGGAATAAATATGCGAAAAACCCTAGTCGACCGCTCGGATGATTTAGCTGCTGTGGGCGTATGTTTCGTTGCCTGGCAAAATATCTTAATATGTCCGCCAAACCAGCATCACATGATTTCATGTCATTCGAAAATACAGAAAAAAAACCTGTTAGGTAAGATAAGATTAAGATTTCAGTGGTCCACTCTTCACTGTTTGTAACATTATTACTTATTTCCATGCAAACTGTGATATGTGTTGAAAATTTTGCAATTGAGCCTAACTTTACTTGCTCAAAGCCTTGAATAATGTATCAATTGTAGCCGTTAAGAAGAATTATCACAAATATTGCAGCTAGTAACACGGGTGAGTACAGATACATACAAATTAATCACTACTCAGTTATCGTTGTTTTAACTGATTTTCTTTGATGTGCTTCATGATGAAAAAATACCACAGATAAGTACATAACACTTTATTATTTTAAAGAAAACAGATGCATATTAAAACAAACACAATTATCAATTTATTAAAACAACACTTTATTATTGGTCTGAGTAGTAATATTAAAACAACCCATTTTTTAATTTATTAAAACAACACTTTATTATTGGTCTGAGTGGTCTTTTTGTTTGGTCCGAGTAGTCTTTTTGTTTGGTCTGAGTGGTCTGTCGGCTAGTCCGACTGGTCTTGGTCCGACTGGTCAGAAAATGCTCTGTAAACTTACTTTTTGATTTATTAGTATTTATTGTGTTTAACTGACAGATACCCCAAGATAACCAACATGCAGGCTTTTCTAAAAGGTGGTTCATGTGGTTTACAAAAAGCTAAAGATAAACCAACCACCAGTTCCTCCAAAGATACCACAGAAAAACGAAAACATACTCCATGGGTTGAAAAATAGTAAGTGGATACCTCTGGCCCTTTCTATTGATGTCATTAAAACTATCCTACCCCTATATCTATTGATGTAATTAAAACTATCATACCCCTATCTATTGATGTAATTAATATATATTACACTCTCCTACTTGATATTAGCTAAAACCTGATGCCAGTCTGGCGGTTGTGTCACTAGATCAAAATAATCATAGAGTGTAAAAAGAGATTGTCATTATATAGCTGTGTGGAGTATAAAGTTACCAATATAACATAAATTTAATTTTGATGGAAAAATGAAGGGGTGAAAATTATAAGTATTTCATGCAATTATCAGCTGATATACATGTATGTCTGATACTGATACTCATACTTGGGTCATGATCAGCAAATGTAACACGATTTTAAAAATAAATGAGATTATTTATTTTTCAGTCGTCCACGATGTGTTGAAGATGTTGCTTTTCAAGATGAAGTTGTATTAGTCTTAAAGAAATCTTTATCAGGATCAGATGTAAGTATTATTTTATGGTTAACTGAGTGGTCTAATGCTTGCGCCTTAGATCATAAGGCCGCGGTTATTTAATTGTCAGTTTCTCATGATCTGAGTTTGTGAAATATACATGCTACATGCGGTAATTATTGAGATGAAATTTAATTTTTATACGCCCACATTTTCATGTGGACATATTATGCCATCGCCCCGGACGTCCGTCCACAATTTGTTTGTGGACACTCTAGAGGTCACAATTCTTATCCGATTTTGACGAAACTTGAAATATAGGTTTATCTCCAAAAGATCTTGGCTGCTTTCGATATTGGTTGTCATGTATCGGATCGAAACTTCATGGATTATAGCCCCTGTTTGTACGAAAAATCACGTTTTTAGCTTGTGGACCCTATAGAGGTCACAATTTTTATACGCCCACATTTTCATGTGGACGTATTATGCCGTCGCCCCAGTCCGTCCGGATGTCTGGACGTCCGTCAGTCCACAATTTGTTTGGGACACTCTAGAGGTCACAATTCTTATCCGATTTTGACAAAACTTGAAATATAGGTTTATCTCCAAAAGATCTCGGCTGCTTTCGATATTAGCATGTATCGCATCAAAACTTTATAGACCCTATAGCTTGTGGACCCTATAGAGGTCACAATTTTTATCCAATTTTGTTGGAACTTGAAATGTAAGTTTATAACCCAAAGATCTCGGTTCCTTTTGATATTCCCGCATATCAGACCATAACTTCCTGAATTATGGCCCCTGATTGTACGAAAGATCGCGTTTTTAGCTTGTGGACCCTATAGAAATCATAATTTTTATCCGATTTAAAAACCTGTATTATTAGATCACCGTTACATCCTAAGGACGACTGAGTTCGAATTTCGTGAAAATCGGCCCAAAATTGACAGACAAAATGGCCGCCGCTCGTTCTCAAATAGCGTAAAAATATGGTATATCATGGTTGTGGACCCTAGAGGTCACAATTTTTAATCCGATTTTGTTGAAACTTGAATTGTAAGTTTAAAACCCAAAGATCTTGGTTCCTTTCGATATTCGCGCATATCGTACCGTAACTTCCTGAATTATGGCCCCTGATTGTACGAAAAATCGCGTTTTTAGCTTGTGGACCTTATAGAGGTCATAATTTTTATCCGATTTAAAAAAATGTATTAATATATCACTGTTACACCCTAAGTACGGCTGAGTTCAAATTTCGTGAAAATCGACCCAAAACTGACAGACAAAATGGCCGCCCTTCGTTCTCAAATAGTGTAAAAATATGGTATATCAAGGTTGTGGACCCTATAGAGGTCACAATTTTTATCCGATTTTGTTGAAACTCGAAATGTAAGTTTAAAACCCAAAGATCTTAGTTCCTTTCGCTATTCGCGCATATCGGACCGTAACTTCCTGAATTATGGCCCCCGATTGTACGAAAAATCACGTTTTTAGCTTGTGGACCCTATAGAGGTCATAATTTTTATCCGATTTAAAAAAACATATTATTATATCACCGTTACACCCAGTGATGGGATTTTGTCTGTATATTCCGGACTTGTCCGAATCTTTTTTCCAAACGCCCAAAATTGTCCGACCGGGAATATGCCCAATCGGACATCAAGACATGGTGAATATTATTCAAAATTCCGAAATTACTGAGTGTATAACTACCCCTCAACCCCATTATCGTCGATAATACGCTGGATTTATTAGGTAATTAAGTGATCAACGTATTTATCGTGTTATACCGTCTAATAATAAACCTACCTTGATTAACTACTTAATCTGCCTTGATTGAATGACTTAATCCTTTGTCGGAAAATTCATCAATCTAATCTTAAACAGAAGTCATTGCTTTCCATTTGTCGGACTATTCATCAATCCAAGAAGAGTGATTATAATTTTAATCCACCTGTTTACCTCGTGGTTTCTCAATTGTCGAGCATTTTAATCGCATTGATGTGAGCCGACAGCATCTTTAAACTAATCATAGATGTCACATATCCTAAGAGTATATAACACCCTAAATTAATGGACAGTCATTTTGTCTACGATATCTTTTACATCTTTTAAGACTCCATATAGAAATTCTCATCCACAGTGGCACTTTCCTGTGATCTCGAGCGCCGCACGAAAATCGCTTACGATGAAGCTATGTGCCGTGAGTCACGTACGCCAAACGCTGCAGAAGTTACGTCTTTTTACAAGTAGTTACGGATCGGGAAGCTTTCATTCTATCATATTACGAAAACACGTAATTTGATAGAAATATCACTGACATAAATTTGAATACCACAATTAAATATGAAAAATAGCGAGGTGTTCCCATTTTTATTACGCACAGATTTGAATATTTTTGTGACATTTTATTAAGAAGAAAACGATTCTTATTCCGAAAGTTCTACATTCATTTGCTGCCGTATAAACGAAGACATGTAATTTTACAGGAATATTAGGCTTACTGTTGTGAATTTGATGCCGAAGCAGTGGACAGTCATTTTATTTGCCATATCTTTTACGTCTTTTAAGACTCCATATAGAAATTCTCATCCACAGTGGAACTTTGCTGCGATCTCGATTGCCGCGTGAAAATCGCTTACAAGGCAGTGCTTACGATGAAGCTATGTGCTATGAGTCACGTACGCCATACGGCGCAGCCTGCAGGAAGCTATGTCTTTTTACAAGTAGGTACGGATCGGCAAGCTTTCATTCTATCATATTACGAAAACACGTAATTTTATAGGAATATCACTGACATAAATTTGAATACCGTACGGGAATTAAATATGAAGAATAACGAGGTTCACCTATTTTTATTACTACAGGAGTTGAATATTTTGTTGACACATGATTTTTAATTGTGGTATGAATACGTCAGCTTAAATAACGATAAGAGTTATGCCCCTTTATTTTCGGTAAAATGTCCGACAGGAAAAATTTTGAAATCCCATCACTGGTTACACCCTAAGGACGGCTGAGTTTGAATTTCGTGAAAATCAGCCCAAAATTGACAGACAAAATGGCCGCCGTTCGTTCTCAAATAGCGTAAAAATATGGTATATCAAGGTTGTGGACCCTATAGAGGTCACAATTTTTATCCGATTTTGTTGAAACTTGAAATGTAAGTTTATAACCCAAAGATCTCGCGCATATCGGACCGTAACTTCCTGAATTATGGCCCCTGATTGTACGATAAATCGCGTTTTTAGGTTGTGGACCCTATAGAGGTCATAATTTTTATCCGATTTAAAAAAACGTTTTATTATATCACCGTTACACCCTAAGGACGGATGAGTTTGAATTTCATGAAAATCGCCCTAAAATTGACAGACAAAATGGCTGCCGTTCGTTCTCAAATAGCGTAAAAATATGGTATATCAAGGTTTTAATCCGATTTTGTTGAAACTTGAATTGTAAGTTTAAAACCCAAAGATCTTGGTTCCTTTCGATAGTCGCGCATATCAGACCGTAACTTCCTGAATTATGGCCCCTGATTGTATGAAAAATCGCGTTTTTAGCTTGTGGACCCTATAGAGGTGATAATTTTTATCGGATTTAAAAAAACCAAATAATATATCACCGTTACACCCTAAGGACGGCTGAGTTCGAATTTCGTGAAAATAGGCCCAAATTTGACAGACAAAATGGCCGCCGTTCGTTCTCAAATAGCATAAAAATATGGTATATCAAGGTTGTGGACCCTATAGAGGTCACAATAATTCAGGAAGTTACGGTCCGATATGCGCGAATAATGAAAGGAACCGAGATCTTTGGGTTATAAACTTACATTTCAATTTTCAACAAAATCGGATCAAAAACTGTGACCTCTATAGGGTCCACAACCTTGATATACCATATTTTTAAGCTATTTGAATTGGGCAACATTTAAAGTAGATGTATATTGTCACAGCGGAGATTTGTCGCCGGTTAACACAGACAGACTAAGAATATAGTCCCAAAAATGGCGCGTTTCTGACCACGTGACTTATTGTTAAGCGCCCCGTGGAGTGGATCGAGTGCTCTATGAATGATTGATTTAGATTAACTGAAGCTGCAAGCTCATCGTATGACGTATTTAATTTAAAGTTTGGATTTTATAGCAGCCAATAATTGATGGATTACATCTAAGTTATAGACGAAGATGTAATGATATGTTGTAAAAAAATTGTAAGTTGTTCATTGTTGCATACATTTTGGCCGAAGTTATATGCATGTACTGTACGTTAGAAAAAAATCCTAACCGATACAGAATGCCGGTAAATGTTTTCCCGAGATTACCGAACTCATTTTGTTGTTATTCAAACCGGCCTGTACATTATACATGTACACGTTTTCACGGCAGCATTACTATATTACAACTCCTTCAATATAAACATTTCGTTAAAATCTGAACAACGCATGTGAAATTGGATATTCGGCAACAGAATTGAATACCTGGCGTAATTGGACACCTTGACTAATTTTAATCACAACTCGGGGGAAATTGAACGGTCCAACTAATTATTGAACAGTCGTGAAAATTAAGCGGGACGCTTATAATTACACACGTGTCGACAAACTAAACACTAGTTAATTAATGCTTGGTAATCAAAATTGCACGTTGAAATTTAAGTTATATACAAGGACAAATTGAATGCTATTAGGCCAAATTCAATGATATTTATGAATAATTCTACATAGATTAGATAATAACGCTATTTACCCAAGATTCCACGGTACCAGTCGTATAGTGTTACTTATCACCTACGGTGTCATGTTCATCGATAAATAGTGGATTTTAATGCGTCAATTCATTGTTCATATTTAAAGATGCATTATGGGAGATAAGATAAAGAGATGGCAGTTCTCGCTATAATAGTTAAAAACTAGATAGTGTAAAGGTAATTTGCTGAAAATTTCAGTCAAATTGATCCACTATGAGCCGAGAAAGAAGCGGGTAAAATTTTTGCAGAGTCACAGTCATCATTACTAAAATCATTAATATAAACAGCATAGTCTCGATTATCCACTTTTTTTGATTTAATTATCAATGGCCATTAGCGGCATATAGGAATCTAATCCAGCCAACATCGAAGGCTAGCCTTGACATCGAGAGTTTATTATGGTCTGGATAAGTTAATTAATGTCTAATTGATAATTTAAATAACATTTCAGGCCTAAAGAAAGACTTGTAATAAGCAGATTTTGCTCTTGCATAATGCATGTTTAAAGGCAAACAAATATAGTTTTAAAGGAAAAATTTTGGACCTCACTAAATTTGACAAATTTGGGTAGCCGATTGGTTTTCACCGGGTACTATGGTTTCCTCCCAATGCTAAAGACCCCTACGCGTAAGTGAATTATGAAAGAAAATTGAAACATCTGTTAGTCCCAAAATGACGTAGTTTGTGTCGAGTGGATGTTAACCCATTTCTCCTCTCAATAAGGCCTGTCATTGAGTCAGGTATAGATCTCAGGCTTTTACATGCCTAACCTCATGAGTTTTCTAAGGGTCTTCCAGTTTCCTCTCACTGCTAAATATCCCTGTGTGCAAGCCAATAATTGAAATAAAGATATACTCTGTTTTTTTCCTGAAATATTATAATTTGTGTTGTGAACATTTAACCCCTTCCCTCTGTCATTCGATTATAATTTCTGGAAGGGAGTCAAGTGCCACATATTTGATTCCAGGCTTGTATGTGACCAGGAGTAGCAGGCTCATCTGCTGAACCTTACAAGTTTTTCTGTATGACTGTAGTCTTCCAATTCTGCTTTCCTGTTGATTGTTCTACTTTGACTATATTAGATTTTATAATCTTTTATTTATTTTCAGTTACCTAACTTGCTGTTTTATGGACCTCCAGGAACAGGAAAAACATCAACCATATTAGCTGCTGCCAGGGAATTATATGGGTAAAGTTAATTATGTAACAACTGTTTCTTGGCACGAATTTCAGAATCTGAAATGAATACTATGGAAAATTAATGCAAATATGTTTAGAATTATTGCGCCGGCCTGAAAGATTTTATCAACATGTTAAAATGAACACTTAGTTAAAGATACTTTCCCAGAAAAGTATTTATTGGGTGTTTATTACCAAGTATGGCAGTTTTGGTATATATACTAGGGGATATTCAGAAACAATACAAAACTGCGGAAATGCACTGCTGTTTTTATTAGAGGTAACCAGTGTATGTTAATAACAGGCCAATTGTCTACACATGAACATAAACAGTTCATATGGGCGGCTTATCTGACGGCCCCATTTCACTCGCAAAGAGATACACTGTCAAAAGTGAAAATGAACGTTTTTGATTTTTGTCTTAATAATGAGTAATTGCTCCACCAATCCTCAGACATTCAGCAATTCGTCGTGGTAGGCTCCTAATCAACCGTCCAATCAGGATTTGGGGCAATCTGACACACTCCTCTTGCAGTGCCACGGCCAATTCTTGCAGTGTTGTCCGTTGACGTTGACGAACACGTCTCCAGATCAAATTAAATGTAACACACTAAAGCAAAGATACGCTAAACAGTAAATCTTATGCAAGAACCGATAGGAAAGCAAACATGGATAGGATAAACCAGCAAGCGGCAGTTTTCATCAACCATTCCTTGAAGTGTCAAATTTGACAATGAACCCCTCCCACATGTATGGCGCTATTGCATGTCGCACATGCAGGTCAGTGGTTCTGTTGGTGCGATAATTTTTTCATCTGTGAACATGCTCTCAAAGCATGTCAAGTGTCCATGACTATTTATCATATCACAATCTGCATTGGTATTTGCATTTCAATATCCCCTACTTTTTTTGAAGAGTATATATGAAAAGTAGAGACACCCAATCTTTCTAGAAAAATGCTGGATTCCTTGAAAACACCCATAGAGCGCGCGCAGGACAAGGCATCCTGGCGATTAAGGGCTGTCAGCTCAAGTGACGTCAAAGGTTGCACGCATAGATTGTCTGAACTCTTGGTGTCAGCCAGGTTATGCTTGATAATATTGATAAACTTAATGGTGAGCAGACATGGAAAAAGTGAGAGACTTAAATGTACAACAGTTTCCGGGATAAAAACCACGGAAAAAAACATCGGGAGGGTATAATCTGAGAATTTACTTAGGCTTCGATATTTATGATAAATGAACAGCGATTTAAGACAACATCGTCTTTTATATGCAATGAATTCTCCTCCGGCAGTTGCGACAGTCAGGTCACATGACATTCAAACTAATTAATTTATCATAATTTTGCTTCAAATCCTTCTCAAAACAGTGTATTTGTCAGGGAATATCCCTGCTATAAAAATCAATCAAAAGGGGTGATGTTTGTGTCACATGACTTGGCTGTCTCGGTACTTAGCAATGGGTGCGAAGCCAGAAGAGAATTAATTGCATATACAAGACGATGTTGTCTCTAATCGCTGATTATTTATCATCAATATCAAAACCCAATAAATTCTCGGATTATCCACTGTCCAAGGTTTTTTCTGTGGTTTTTACCTCAGAAACTGTTGTACCATCAAGTTTATCAACATATACAGGGTACGAAATAACACGCGAACGGTCGTTCAGGTTACGCATCGGTTACCATAACCCGGAAACACGTGAACGGACTTCCGTTCTCGACCACCAAGCTATAATTTTTAACTGACGGTTAAAATATTGACCCACTCCTACGTTATAAATAAATACCTGACAGATCCTCAAGTCATTTTGGGGTAGCGAATCAACTTGCGTACCCATCATACCTGGCAACGTCATTAGCGAACAAAAGCGCCAGATCAATCACCTGAGTTTTATTGTTTTTATACGCCCACATTTTCATGTTGACGTATATTGTCGTCGCCCCTGTCCGTCCGTCCACAATTGTTTGTGAACAGTCTACAGGTCACAATTTTCATGTTGACGTATATTGTCGTCGCCCCTGTCCGTCCGTCCACAATTGTTTGTGAACAGTCTACAGGTCACAATTTTTATCCGATTTCAATGAAACTTGAAATATAGGTTTATCACCCTAAGATCTCGGTTCCTTTCGATATTGGCATCTATCGAACCATAACTTCATGGATTATGGCCCCTGATTGTACGAAAAATCACGTTTTTGGCTTGTGAACACTGTAGAGGTCACAATTTTTATCCGATTTTGTTGAAACTTGAAATGTAAGTTTATAACCCAAAGATCTCGGTTTCTTTCGATATTCGCGCATATCGGACTGTAACTTCCGGAATTATGGCCCCTGATTGTACGCAAAAACGCGTTTTTTGGCTTGTGGACCCTATAGAGGTCATAATTTTTATCCGATTTAAAAAAACGTATTATTATATCACCGTTAAACCCTAAGGACGGTTGAGTTCGAATTTCGTGAAAATCGGTCCAAAACTGACAGACAAAATGGCCGCCGTTCGTTCTCAAATAGCGTAAAAATATGGTTGTGGTCCCTATAGAGGTCACAATTTTTATCCGATTTTGTTGAAACTTGAAATGTAAGTTTATAACCCAAAGATCTCGGTTCCTTTCGATATTCGCGCATATCGGACCGTATCTTCCTGAATTATGGCCCCTGATTGTACGCAAAAACGTGTTTTTTGGCTTGTGGACCCTATAGAAGTCATAATTTTTATCCGATTTAAAAAATCATATTATTATATCACCGTTACACCCTAAGGACGACTGAGTTCGAATTTTGTGAAAATCGGCCAAAAACTGACAGATAAAATGACCGCCCTTCGTTCTCAAATAGCGTAAAAATATGGTATATCAAGGTTGTGGACCCTATAGAGGTTACAATTTTTGTCCGATTTTGTTGAAACTTGAAATGTAAGTTTATAACCCAAAGATCTTGGTTCCTTTCGATATTCGCGCATATCGGACCTAACTTACTGAATTATGGCCCCTGATTGTACGAAAAATCGCGTTTTTAGCTTGTGGACCCTATAGAGGTCATAATTTTTATCCGATTTAAAAAAACGTATTATTATATCACCGTTACACTCTAAGGACGACTGAGTTCAAATTTCGTGAAAATCGGCCCAAAACTGATAGACAAAATGGCCACCCCTCGTTCTCAAATTGTATAAAAATATGGTATATCAAGGTTGTGGACCCTATAGAGGTCACAATTTTTATCCGATTTTGTGGGGGGTTGGATGGCTGAATGGTTAGCGTGCGCGCGCTGTATCATAAAGTCTGTCATTGAGTCGACTGGCGTGGTTTCGAATCCCCGGTTGTACGTGGCAAGGAGTAGGGTTCCTGTCGATATTTGCGCATATCGAATTGTAATTTCCTGAATTATGGCCCTTGATTGTAGGAAAAATCTCTTTCGTTTTAGCTTGTTTTCTATCCATCACTCGAAAATGTGGGCGTATCCTGCCTGGCAGCCGCTGGTTATTTCTTAAATTAATGGTGATTGAGTAATAAAAATAGAACACCCAATGAAAAGAAATGTTATATTCGCAAATTATCAAATAAAAAAACATACGTTTCAACGGTATTTACGTAATAGGTCAGAGGTGAAAATTCAAACCGTGTCAATGACTTCAGCATTATTCCAATATTTTTACGTGGTCACTTACGGCTAATAATTTTATGACATGGAGAGTGAAATGGAATAAGATTTTTATACGCCCACATTTTCATGTGGACGTATATTGTCGTCGCCCCCGTCTGTCCGTCCGGACGTCTGTCCACAATTGTTTGTGAACAGTCTACAGGTCACAATTTTTATCCGATTTCAATGAAACTTGAAATATTGGTTTATCACCCTAAGATCTCGGTTCTTTTCGAGATGTATCGGACTGTAACTTCATGGATTATGGCCCCTGATTGTACGAAAAATCACGCTTTTAGCTTGTGAACACTGTAGAGGTCACAATTTTTATCCGATTTGGTTTAAACTTGAAATGTATGCTTATAACCCAAAGATCTCGGTTCCTTTCGATATTCGCGCACATCGCGTAACTTTCTGAATTATGGCCCCTGATTGTACGTAAAATCGCGTTTTTAGCTTGTGGACCCTATAGAGGTCATAATTTTTATCCGATTTAAAAATCTGTATTATATCACCGTTAAACCCTAAGGACGGCTGAGTTCGAATTTCGTAAAAATCGGCCCAAAATTGACCGACAAAATGGCCGCCGTTCGTTCTCAAATAGCTTAAAAATATGGTATATCAAGGTTGTGGACCCTATAGAGGTCACAATTTTTATCTGATTTTGTTGAAACTTGAAATGTAAGTTTATAACCCAAAGATCTTGGTTCCTGTCAATATTCGCGCATATCGGACCGTAACTTCCTGAATTATGGCCCCTGATTGTACGAAAAAACATGTTTTTAGCTTGTGGACCTTATAGAGGTCATAATTTTTATCCGATTTAAAAAAACGGATTATTATATCACCGTTACACCCTAAGGACAGCTGAGTTCGAATTTCGTGAAACTCAGCCCAAAACTGACAGATAAAATGGCCGCCCGTTGTTCTCCACTAGCGTAAAAATATGGTATATCAAGGTTGTGGACCCTATAGAGCAGGGCTGCCGCAACCAGTATCGCAGCACAATTTGCGATACATATTTTGTCTGTTGCTAATCAAAAATTAAAATCTAAAGTTTTTGATTCGCAGTAACTGCGAATCATTAATACGCCTGTCATTTTGGATATTGACACAAGGATAATCCACATTTGAAGGCTTTCTCAACACTTTCAACGTGTATAAAATGTTGAATAAAATTTTATAAACAAAACTCAATTCTCCGTGTGACATTTTCTTCTCGAACTACCCAGACACAATTCATTATACGGTACTATATAATACAGGGACATAACTCTATGAATAGGGACTATTAAACCGGAAATAGGGAATTAAGTAGTACCACTCACGTTGTGAGACATCAAGTAATTATATCATATTCATTT